AACATAAGAGATATCCCAATTAACAGCTAATAAGGATTATGCTCAGACATGCACATTCTGGCCTCAAGTCAACCTTTTGACCAATCACAGCCTTTGCCATTATGTTAGTTAATTTAGAAAACATTATTCCTATATTTAACATGTATGCGTTTACACTTTACACAGATATTAATGAATAATAATTACATGCAAGTATGGAACTTACGTTAGTTTGAAATGTAATTTATTGCATTTCTAGAGAGGATGGACAACTGGACCAACAAGGCAACAACAACATACACACAGAGTAGTAGCAACGACCAACTCATCAGAAGTTTAAAAGCAATATTTTTATTTTCTCATTTGAGATATATAAATAAGATACCTGGACTTTAAGTCTACTGATTGTGTACCATCATTCGTAGTATATTAATATAGTATACTACTATCAGTTATAGATGATCAAATTCAAAAGTTATATAAATTGAAATGAATCAAATAAATTTTTTTTTAATCAAAGAATTTAACATTGTCAATCTAAGTAATGTAGTGCAGTGGTAATTGTAGGGAAAGGACCTCTTTGAGTTTAATGTATCGGAGTTCGATTCCCACTATAAACTAAGTTGTTTTGCTAGCGCCATTAGAAGTTATGGGTTTTCGTCCAGGTTTGCTCAACTCCAATAATAGTTAGAGTTGATCTATAATTCTAATGAACAAAAATTGGTAATTAGATATATGATGCTAATAATCTTATATAAATATATAAGAAACAATTAACATTATTGTCATGTTATTGTTTTGGGTGTGCAGTGCAACTTCTATATGTGCGTATAGTTCTCTTCCAAAATTAGCTTTGAAAAAACAGTGTGTCTTAACTGTTTTACTTGTTCTTACAACATAAAATATAATACTATAAATTTTGTAATATTAAAATGATCTGAAATGGTCATGGCAGTTGAGATTGGAGTTTTCTCGGACACTCATCTTAAGACAATGAGTCTGAATGGTAACCAAAAGTTGTACAAATTTTTTAACTATTAGCTGGAGCTGTAAAATTTACCGGAATAGTGCAAAGCTGTACGAAATAGCTGTACAAAAAAACTGTCCAAAAAAGCTGAGAGTAAAACTGTTAGTAACGCTTTTGATAAAGCTTTTGTGATTGATAACTGTCAAAGCTATATATGTTGTACCGTTTTGATAATGAGTTACCATTCAAAGCCAATAAGAAGACATGTTGGTATATTATTGGGACTTATATCATGACCTCTCTAAGATTATAACTAAATGTGTATATATACTCATGTAGTCATGTACACTTACTTCAATAAATAAAACAAACACAAATCATTACAGTTTTTATTATTTTCCGTGTACATTAATGGAGAAGCAGTCAAAAACTTAAAAAAAAACAAGAGTATTGAAGATAGTACATGTTGGCAATGGTAAATTATTCAATCCAAATTAAATTATTCTAGATTTTAACTTCAAAAATGAAATACATGTGACAGTGTAGTTGTAATAAATGGCATTAAAATTTGAATGTGCTTTGAATTTGAACTAACTCAAAATAAAAATGACGGGTCAAAAACTCTAAACAACTTCTTACTAATAAAAACAAAACATGGTAATTACAAGTGTTTGCATCTTTCCGCATTTTTGTCTGTTGCTTTCGGAATTTAAAGAGACAATGACCAATGTATCTTTTCCTAATTTAGTTGACCGACTTTTCTCCTAAATACATTTGTTTGACCAAAATTTTATTCAACTATTTTCATCACGTTGTTTTAAAATCTGTTTGACCACCATATTTTTAATTTCTATATTTAAAAATAAAACGTATAGTGGTTTGGATTGATAACCATATATAATCGTATAATTACATCAAAAATAATAATATTAGAAAATGAAATAAAATATTAAATATTCACTTATTTGTATAGTATTTTATGTAATTTTTTTATTGGTGAAGTATTTGGGGAATTACACTAGAAAGTACCATTCTACTATTAATCGATGGCAAAAGAAAAATCGAGAAAAGTGATGCTAATTAGTGTTTAGTAGTATTGATTCCTACGACTGGAAAACATGAAAAGAAACAGTATGAATTTTGAATTAAGATTCTCATCTTATTGAAAAAATGAATCTAGTTTTTTTTTGATAAAGAAAAATGAATCTAGTTTCTATTAAAAGAATTCGTAAGTTGTAGTTAGATAGAAACCATCAAGTAGATTCGATTCTTACGCTTTACGTTTAGACGTGAAAAAAAAAAAAAAAGAACAGCCGACGTCGAATAATGTTAATGTTAAACTGCCGTCACTTTTCCCGCGTTTACACACTATTTCTAACCAACAAAAGAATGTGAAAAATAAAATAAAAAATTGAATCTAAATAATAATTTAATAAATAAATGGTGAATATTGGACAATACAGAAAATGAGAGGTCACAAAAATAGTACTGTGTTCATGACGGCCGCACCACATACCTTGTTCTCATCATTTATTAAACTCAACAATTTCTGACCAAACTAATGAAGTTTAATGTTATTTTTCGTCAAGATTTTAACATATTTTAGTCCATCCAACTAATTCATTAGTGTTTTGTTTAAGATAAATTTATTTTTAAGATGTATTGTTTGCCAATTCAAAAATAAAAATTATTGAGGTATCATTAGAGAGAAATTTAATGGGGTTTGTTTTCTTTGTTTTTAATTAGAATTATTAATTATATATACAATTTTAATTTTGTAGTCATTTCACTATTTGTACACTAACACTAATTCAGTACAGTAAATATTTACAAGACATGTCATATCATTTATTGTACATTTTTACATTAAGATTAAAAAAAAAATCAAAAAATGCTAATTAGGTTGCTAATCATCAGAAACACTGAACTCACACACATTTTAGCAAAAGCAAAACTCATTATTACAAATATCAAATCCATGATCTTTGAATCAACAGACAAAATGTTACTAACGTGTCTTTATATCATATGAGAAAACGGTTATAAGAAAATTATGAATTCTTATCATCTAAGGCCAGAAATTGACCAATGACACTTGGAAGGCCACATATCTCTACTTGTTAGGCTAAAGACAAACCAAACCTTTTCAATCGCCACAAAGCATTAAGAGAAAAAGAAAAAATGAAAGAAAATTTAATCTTTGCCTTCTTTTTTTCAAAAAATCTGTCTTGTTCAGTAATCACTAATCAGTATGATCAAATGCGCAAATTTAGGGTGATATGTTTGTATTATTACTTTTCTTTCATGTTTCTATATGTAGTAATAGGCATTTGAGAGAGAGAGCCCAAATTTAAAACAATATATCAATTTGCAGATATTGGGCCTAAACGGCCCACTCTCTAACCGGCCCAATATCTCTACTAAAATTATTAGGCAGGCATGCGCTGGCTTCATCAATCATCAATTCATCATGATAGAGTTTTTTTTATGCGAACTACAAAAAAGAGCAATTGAAACCAAACCTTATAAAGTAGTTAAATACAATACACCTATGACAAAAATAATACACATTGGAGACCTAAATCCACAAAGCATTTCCGGGTCGGCAGCCGAAGGATAAATGTGGACTGCGTATATACCGATTTAGTTTGAGTTGAGTTCGGTCCACACAACGGTCGAATCGCTTGACCTACACTCATTAGCAATCCAACAACGTCGTCGTTCTCCCCATATAAACAAGTTCAACCGTCTATATGTATTCGTCTAGCACAACATATATAAAATTATAAATTATTTTGAATAAAAAATTATGTTTTAAATCATATACAGTAGTGAACAACATTCTACAACAATCTAAAACAGGAAAGTATTTATAAAAATCTTACAATTTTATGGAAACTGTATAAATTAATAAAATAAAACCGAAAATCATTCATAATCAAGTTTATAGTCACAAATTTGCATACAAAAAAATGTCACAAAGTAGTATAAATAAAAAAAGAAAAATTGGCGGACGCGATCTAATCTATGTATGATAAGCAAAATTTTATTGACTATTCATATTAAATTAGCGATATAAATTATTGTAATCCAATATATAGTCATAGTGTTGTTTAGTAGAAACTATCTATCGATTTTGTAGCCACCATTTGTAAATTATAGTATTAACGTTTATCTTTATTATCCGATATCTCCAATCACAAAAAATATAACATTATGAGCTTGCCCAAATCACATGAACGTTCCAAAAGAACACATGGGTTTTGCATAGCCAAAAAAAAGAAAAGAACAAAAATCGAATTGCAGTACACATATAGTCGAAAAATGCATTATTTGTTTACGGTTTAAATGAACTTAATAAGCTTATCCTTGTCAGCTTAATTAGTAGTATCTTTTTGCATGTTACATGTTAAATAATATTTCTTGACAGGTTGGAAGATCAATCAATTAATCCATCATAATCTTAATAATAATCTATCAAATGAACAAACATTATTTAATTCCTTACAACTTTACTTTCATCAATGGCTTATTCTAAGCTATAAACAGACCAAACATTTTCAGCCCCAATAACACATCAGAAAAAATAGAAAAAAAAATGATAGCTTAAACTTGATATTATTTTGGAAATTTAAACTTTGATCTGTCAACATTTTATCAACCTCAATGTACGTAACACAATGTTCCAACAATGGTTTAATTCAACATTGTTATTTTGGAAGATAATATATCAGTTCAAAGCTCTCTTATCCCAGATTTAGCAAACGTTAATTATTGTCTATTGGGTTATAAGTGACTTATAATAAGTCTTATATTTATATTTATGTCCACTCATATAATGACTATTGCATGTTACATGCGACGATCCAAATATGAAATATCTTGATGACAGTTTGTAAGATCAATCAATTCATCATAATATTTAAAATAATCCCTCACATGAACAGTTCATTGAAATTTCGTCATTTAGTTTCCACTCGTCTATTTGTAATTAAAAACACATAAACCAATCTTAATCTTCACCTATAAAAACCCTATCACTATCTCCATATTCTTCACACAACACATCACAAGCTCGATAAAGAGAGAGTTTTGAGGGTTTTCTTGTACCTTTTATAAGAATTACTCTTATAGAAACTTTACTTCTTCATCAATGGCTTATTCTACGATTGCTCTTCTCCTCCTCTTCAATGTCATCTTCTTCACTTTTGTCAGCTCGAGTTCAGTCCCTTGTCCACCACCACCGCCCAAGAAGCCCTCAACTTCATCTCCTAACCACAAACCCACTTGTAAAGACGCTCTTAAACTTAAGGTGTGCGCTAACGTGTTGGATTTGGTCAAGGTTTCTCTACCACCAACGTCCAAATGTTGCGCTCTTATCAAAGGTCTAGTTGATCTTGAAGCCGCGGTCTGTCTTTGCACCGCCCTAAAGGCTAATCTTCTTGGTATCAACCTTAATGTTCCCATTTCTTTGAACCTTGTCCTAAACCAATGTGGTAAGAAGGTTCCATCTGGTTTCAAATGTGCCTAGAGATTACACAACTTCAATTGAGATTCTATATACCACATTTCATTCTTGTTTTTGAAATTCCACATTTTTTTTTTTTTTTGATAACCCAGTGTCCAGACCACACAGTGATCCGACTAGCCCACTGGGCCTAAGCCCGCGTGCCTGGGATTTTTAAGCCTCCACTTAAGGGCCCCCTGGAACTGGTGGTCTGGGACGCTGCGCCCCGCAGGTAAATTGCGCAGTGGCCAAGTGGAGATCTAGCAATTGCGCGCTTGCGGGGAATCGATCCCTGGCCTAGACCAACAGGGCAACTCCTCCACAAGTGGCAACCACTAGACCAAGAACACTTGGTTAAATAAAATTCCACATTTGATGATGTCTTTACCTATTGTTGTAATTTGTTATATGTTTCATATATCAATGAAATAAAGTGTTTCTTTTTCGAAAAAAAAGAATCAAATCCTCTTATCAACTTCCTTTTTTGAATTAAATGCTAGTGTTGAAAAGAATTTATGTAATATGCATACAATGGAACTTAATTTTGACACAAGTAACATGAAGATAATTCCAAACATAGGAATCTTTGTCTAATTATATACTTTATTGGCACGAACTTAATCATTGTATAGTCTGTCGTAATAATGATAAAAAATAAAAATAAAGTCTGTCGCAATCGCCAGATATTAGCATTTTAAAATATGTTAATTCTAATGTGCATGATACTAATCATTAAATGAAACTCAACCAGCAAATATTCAACCCCCACGAGAAGTATTATCTTTAGCTAAAAACGGTAATATAAATCGTCCCATTTCGATATTTTATATAGAATTAATTAAAAGATCAAAACATTGAATACGAAAAGCCAAAAGTATAAAGAAGGTAGTAGCATATTAATTGCAAAATAAGCCAAAACATTTCAAAGGAGTCAAACCAAGTAGAAAGTCAATACCCGAACCAGCTACGCTTTTCTATTAAACCGTAGACCGGTTAGACCGATAATCCGGTTCAGAAAACAAAAAGGTCAACTTTACCAACCTGGTGCGCTCTTGACTTCCTCTAATTACCATTATGACCCTCCCCCACAAAAACAGCCAAAAACATAAACTAGTTTCCCATTTTACCCTTACCATAATAAACCGAAAATAACCTAAAAGGCTTATCCATTTAGATGCTACGTTATTTACCAAAACAACCTCGAAGCCATAACCGAATTACCTATGAACCTCCCTTTTTTCATTTACTATTTTGCCCCTGACTCGGGACTGATCTTGGACTGAAAAAGCAAGGAGGTTTAAGGGTAATTCGGTCAATTAGCTGACTTCTTGTTTGGACGCGGCGGCGGAAGATGCAATCGCCGGCGTAATGGTGCTGCTGAGGGCGGAAGTGATCTGATTAACGGTGGCGCATAGATGGTTATTGATGGTGGAAACGGTGGAGAGATTTGGTTTCGCGGTTGGGACGTTGCTCGCCAAGACCTGAATCCCGACGGTGAGAAGACACGACGGAGGAGAATTCGAATTGACGGAAATACCCTCGGGAGGATTCACGGGGACGATGGAGAATCCAAGGGGTAAAATCGGAATATTGGAAGAATCTTCACCGTTCATCGCCAGCTGGATTGAGTCAACGTCAACGGTGGAGTAGACGATTAAGCTACCGGAGTTATCAATGCAGCTTTCTTGAAGCATCAGCTCAACGTTATGCCATGAATTGCTTGCGACCTGCAAAAACCCTAATTAATACCAATCTTTGAATTAGGGTTTTGAAATCTCTGAAACTTACATTGATTCGAAGAAGAGAGATGCAATTTCCAGGATGTGAACCATTTGCGATATGAGCAACTTCATGAGGTGAATTACCATTGAACAAAACCTCTAGCTGCACAAGAAAAATATTAGGGTTTTGTGTTTTTGATAGTGATAATCTTAGGGTTTTGCATCAAGAACAGAGAGAAGAGTCTAGTTTTTGTTTACCAGAGATTGGTGATGTTGATCACGGATGAGATCAAAGACTTGATGGTGAGAAAATGGAAGCCAAGTGGTTGAGACAGCACAAAGAACAACTCCTGTAGGCTGACCAGGTTCACACATTTTCCTTGTCGTGATCCTCACGGTGTCCTTAGTTGTCTCCGACAAAGCTGTCCAAGATTGTCCGTAAGCAGTGCTCATATTCACACAGAATGTTTTTACCAGTCTCTGTGATAACCTCATTATGTTCCTCCTTGCTTCAGCAGAAGATATCACTGCAAAATGGAAACAGAGATTTTGTGATTTAGCGGTTTAAGGGTTTTAAGAATTGAGGGATATGATTTAGACTACTAGCCTCCAAGGTCAGTTATGTTTCTAGCCATTAGACTAGCGATCCTCTCGCATTGTCTCTGCAACACGTCAAGCCAACGATTAGCTCCAAAGGCCATTCCGCTTTTCACATACTCAGCAAAGGTCTCGTGCACATGCTTCTCATCTACTTCAACATGCTCTACCCACTTGACTTGTGAGTATCCATTAGGCATGTCTTGAATGATGCAGCCTGAAGGTTTTCTCTTATACTCATGAGTAATAGTATTCAGTGGTTGCATTTGGTCATGGAAGCTATCGATCGGGAAATCCACAATCGCCCAATTTCCGGTTTCCGCGTTTTGTTCCACATACCGAAGAAAATAAGCTTCTCGAGTTGGAACCAGTGGAGATAGTACCTGTAACTCTGCAAACATCTTGTAAAACATAACAACATAGATTCCATTAGCAAGAAGCTGTTGCGTTTGTTCCCGCTTGTTTCGAATCGAATTCTAAATTACCAGAAGAAGAGAACCACTAGCTCCAGAAACTCCAGATGAAATAATCTGAACCGTTTTCGCCCTAGCCACGATTGAACAGAACATCTCTGACCATTTATCCTTCAAATCAAAAGCGCGAAATTAATCAATAATCAAAGTAATCCAATCAGAGGCCTTTGCGAAAAGTGTACTACTTACAGCATTCAGAAACGCGTCAACTAGCGTTATGCTGTTCATGATAACGACTGCATTCGCCTTTGAAGCTTCTCGATGAAAATCTCCTTTGTTGTTATGATTCTCCATTGGCCATGGGAACAACCTCATGTACTCTTCCTCATTCAGACACAAAGTCTCGCCACCAATCTTGTCTGATTTCTTCTTAATCCACAAAGGCTCTTCTGTGTCACACATTTTAGTAAGTTCTTGAACACAAGAGACAGCAAATTCCATAGCGATAACCTTTTCTTCATCCGCAAGTAACATATTGCTGTTGTTGTTGTTGACAGTCTGATCAGGGAAGAAACAAGCTGTATCTTGTGGTGGAAGCATCATCATGTCTGTACAAGATTGTTCTGGAAAGTTCCCAGCGTATACACTCATGTCTAGCTCCAATGAAGGTTGATGATGTGGAAGCATCGGAGAAGGATTGATCAACGGCTGGGTTGATGGCATGGATTGCATCGGACGGCCGGTGTATCTCGAAGCAATGCAGCACAGACGATCAAGCTGTGGAATCAACAATCAATATTGTGTTAGGGCTGGACATTTTCACCAATGTTCTAAATTACACAAATTAACCGAACCAAAAGTTTTTTTTTTCTTTTGTCAATACAAAATGGTTTTTTTTTCAATAATTCTTTGATATATTTTCCCAAAACATATCAAAATGGTTACCTCTTCACGGAGGCGACAGTTCTCAATGTGGAGCTCGTTGAAAGGAATGTCGCCTAGGACGGTGGGGCCGCCGCAAGAAGGGCAAGAGAGGCACCGTAGCTCCGCCTGAAGATGACAATTCTCCGACTTAAGATTATCGTTCTCTGCCCTTAACATCACGTTCTCATTTCTGTCTTGTTGTGCCTATTGATTCAACACACACAAATAATTAATTAGATTGTCAAAAATACTCAATCTTTTATAAGAACGTACTAAAATTTACGATTTCATTTTTATAATTTCATAAAAAAATTTGGAGATGAACTAGACTTAGAAATCAAGATTATATAATCTAATAATTGTTACAAAGGTGTATATATATACAAATAAATGTTGAATTTGTAGTTACCTTCATTTGGGTACGCCTATTTTGGAACCAAAACTTGACTTGTCGAGGCTTAAGACCAAGTTCATCACTTAACCTCTTTCTTTGTTTGTCGTCTGGATGTGGGTTTTCTTTAAACAACCTACAAAGATATAATTTTATCAAAATTTAATCTCCAATCATGAGATCTATATACAGAAAAATATAGGTGTAATATTCAGTTTGGTAAAAGAACAAAGAAAACATTGTAAGAATAAGAAAAATCAAATCAAAATAAAAGTTCACATAAAAGGGGAAAGCCTATTAATCAAGATTAAAAAAAATCAGTATCTAAACAACAAAACTATTCAAAACCTAGCAGAACTAAATCAAGATATATTTATAAAAACCAGATTGAACACACCCGAGTGGATAATAAAAATATAATATAAAAAGGGCAAAACATACGCTTCCATTTCTTGGATCTGACGATTAGTGTGTCTGTGGTAACGTTTCTTCTTAGCCGGAGGAGGTTGTTCATCGTCTTGAAGTTCATTGACATCAGATTCGTTTCCGAACTTTGGATCTTCTGCTTGTTCACTACCCGACCCGAATGACCCGCCTGCCGACCCGTTTTCCATCATTTCCTCTACTGTTCCATCTCCCATCATCATCATCATACTCATCATCCCATGCTCCTCCTTCTAGAAAATGATACAAACAAAAAAAGTAAATGAAAGATTTTGGAAATTTCAAGAATAATAAAAGAGAGAGATGTTTGAAAGTCTTAACAAGGAACAAACCGGGATAATGGATGAAAAGAGTTGAAAGGGATGAAATTAAAATTAGGGTTTTGGATTGTTCCCGGAGAAGAAGAAGACGGTGCTTGCGGCGAAGCAAATCTGTTGTCTGAAGTCATCACATTTCCTTCTCCGATTGTCAACATCACTTAAAATTTTAAGAAAACCTAATGATGAATAACAAGGATCGCAGTTAGGGTTTTGTTTTTGAAATCTTGAGCAAGTAAAGATTCAAGAAGAAGAATCAGTGCATGGAAATATTTTAGAATTAATCTCAAATGCAAGAGGAACAAAGCATGAAAGATAAGATTTAATTACCAGAGACGACAGCTAGATCGGTTCATTGTTCAGAAAATATTTTAAATTAAATACACAAAAACGTAACTGATAATAAAAATACATTTATTGCTCATGAAATCTTTTCAAAAATTTTAAGAAAAACAGGTCCAACTAATAAAAAAATATAAAGACACACTATCTGAGCATTCATGAGAAGATATATGGATTAAGGAGACAATATTCAAAGAAAACGCTCACGAGAAAAATAGAAAAATTAGGGTTGTCTAAGTTTTTCAAAACATAAAAAAGAACACAACATAAACCAGATAATGGCACTGTTTCTAGTGATATTTTTTCTAGAAAAATATAGAGATTTTCTTTCACTTTCTTTTGTTTTCTCTCACTTTCTTACCTTGTTTAGCTTCAGAGAAAATGCAAAAAAAAAAACCAAAGATTGATTCTCTCTCTAATCTCAAAGAGTTTTTTTTTTGGGAGCTTTTCTCACTCTCTCTAAGTTTTTTTTTCTTTCCTTTGGCAATAAATGGAGGAGTAAATTTCTCATTAAATACTTACCGGACCAGAAGGGTAAACGGCAGACTTTTAGATTTAACGGCGATAATTAACGGAGTGTAACGTATAAAAAAATAACGCTCGTCTAACTCTTCCGTCAACTGCACCGTCTCGCCACGTGGAGGTATATTAGTGGGAGTCCGTACGTTACCCTCGAAAGAAGCGACCCCTCCATAAGTCAAAGCTTTTTAACTTTTAAGTCAAAATATTATTCACCACGCGTTAACCGCGTGTGTGCGTTACACTGCAATTATTCTATTTTGTCACACAAGTGTTGCATTATTTTGTTTGCTAACAAAAATATTACTTTTTTAAAAAAAGAAGGTATTGGACATTTTTGAAAGATGTAATAAAAAGTTTCATATACCTTTTGTAGGTCTAGGCATTCGGTTAACCGTTCGGTTTCGGTTCGGTTGCGTTCGGTTTCGGTTAGTTCGGATATGGTAATATAATAACCATTCGGATATTTTAGGAATTTCGGTTTGGTTCGGTCCGGTTACCTTTCGGTTCGGTTCAATTTGGATATTTAAATAGATAACCATAACTAACCAAAATTTTATCACGTTCGGTTTGGTTCGGGTTTTTACCCAAAATAACCAAAATTGACCGAATCTAATCGAAACTAACCGAAATTAACCGAAAAAATACAAAAAAAGAAAAATATTATAAAAGAATTTTAAAATTGGATTCATTTTTGTCAAAGAATATTTAAATTTAAAAAATATAACAAACAACATTTGGATATTTTGATTATTTAAAGTATTTGATTGTTTTGATTCTAAAAATAGTTAATATTTTGAGTATATAATTCTAATTTTGTGTATTATTATTGGGTATCTTATAGAGTTTTGGATATTTCGGTTAACCATTTGGTTATCGGTTCGGTTCGGTTCGGTTTCGGTTATTTTGGATAAGGGATTTTACTAACCATTCGGTTATTTTGAAAACTTCGGTTCGGATATGGTTCGGTTTTTTTCGGTTCGGTTCGGTCGATTATTTGGTTAGCGGTTTTTTTGCCCAGGCCTATTTTGTCTATATTAGATTTTTTTCTATAACAGCTTCTTTGTTTGAATGAATGAAATCATGCTTCTGTCCAAAAGAAAAAAAAAAGATTTTTTTCTTAAGTAACATTGTTACTTTTAAACCTATAATTGTATCACTTATTCACTTTAATAAAAAATTTAGTCCATTTCATAAAAAGTATTTGACATTTAAAAGTAATAATAAGATATATCATTAATAGCTATTAGATATTTTTTTCTTAAGTTTATTTTTCTATTACAACTATCACTTAGTCATTTTAATAACAAAAAATTGAATCCATTTCATAAAAGTATTGGACATTTAAAAACAGAAATAATATTCATACACCATTGAATTGATAGCCATTAGATTTTTTTCTTAAGTATTTTTTTTTAAACCTATCATTATATTATTTATTCACTTTAAATTTCTATTAAAAAAATTTATGGTCAAAGTATAAAATGGATAACGCAACGACAAAAACAATTCAATTTTTTTTTGTAATGTCGGTGAAGCCAAAAAAATATAGCGACAAAGGATGATAGAGCGTGTCTTTGTCAACGTTATCCTACAAAAGATATGTTTTGTGGCGACTTTGCGAAAAAAAATTCAACGAGATAAAGTAAAACCAAAAATATTTTGATATGTAGAATCCTGTAACGGATACACGATGCAATACACGACAATATAGTTATAAGAAGATGTCAATCTTTTTTTGGCTTCACCGATATTACCATATCCTTTTGATTGTTTTGTCGTTGTATTGTACAATTTCCATTCCGACGATAATGGAAAAGAAAAAAATTGTAAGAGAGTGAAAATGATTTTTAAGTCCTTGATGTCAAATACATAAAAAAAAATTCTAGACTTGCTTCAACACTAGTATGACTTAGGCATTACAATTTGATGGCCCATCCCTACATATTTTTATTTTACTTTTTTTCCTCAAACACAAATACAAGAAATTAAAATCGTACTACTAAAAGTATAGTGTCCAACTTATATATATATATATATATATATATATATATATATATATATATATATATAACTTTATCGGTATATTAGGAGAGTTTTCAAAGAGAATGTGTCTCTAAATCTCATATTCGAAGTTGTGCTTTTGAGGAACTAATCTAACTTCCTTTGATCTCCGTCCGAAGGAATTACGGACCTAAAAATTTCTAAATATTTGGGTAAAATAAAAAAAATAACAAGTACAATCTTATTAGTTAAAATAACTTTGTAAGAAATATAATAGTCTGATTTTAAAATATTAAGATTTGGGAAAATTTCTGTCCATAGAATTTTTTAAAAAGAAACGAGAATAATCTTTTAACTTAATTAATCATTTTTATTGTTATTATATTTTTTTATTTTACTTATAGTTGCAACCACAAGTATGATCATAAGAATTTCCAGCTTTTTTATCCAAATGCGCACATATGATTTTACAAATTGGTAATTTAGATCGACTTTTCCATGGACAAACGCAGCTGCCAAATAGACAAGCAAGAGGCACTGGACATGGTTGCGCGTCTTTGCAATCGTCGTTTGTGTAACACCTACTCTCTATCAACCTTATACCTTCAAAAAGAAAAGTATCCAAACAAAATAATTAAATTTAAGTAAAACAACTTTTAGTATATATTGACATATGTATAATGAACAAATCATATATTTGTATAAGAGCGAATAACTTACAGAAGGCAGATACAAGGAACAAGCCCAAGAAGAAGGTCACTTTGTTTGATTTCATCTCTCTCTCTTTCTTTTTTTTCGGTGATATGAGTTTTAATGAAAAATCCACATGACTTTATATACTAGGATAATCTCTTTCTTTTCTAAGAATATAAGATCACTAGGCATACAAAGGTTTTTGTTATTAAAATGTTTTGATTCCATACCCACTATTATTTATAATCATAGATTGCATTTTTGATTTGTTGCCAATAAAAAAAATCACATTCTGAATTATATCAGTAATTATCTGCAACTTTCATTGTTCAAAAATCACATTTTGAATTATATTAGTAATTAGTAATTACCTAAATCTTTTTTAAAAGACTAAATCATAATTTTGCAGCCAAGTATTTATAGCAATAAAATTTACAACTACATACAATTCATTTACAACCAAAACCAAACCAATCACCCACTTAATTATATTGGATTAGTTAATGGTTGTGATATAATCATAAAGAGTTCAAAAAAAAAAACATTATATACGAACTGTATATATTTAAATGTTTATATATTGTATATTACCTTTTATATAATTTTAAATTTTCTTCTCTGGTAAAATATTACTTTTTAATGATTTATATCTTAGATTGGCTGATTTTTTTATGTGAAGTCAAGAAATTGAAAATAGTTCGAATGTTTTTTTTAATAGTTCGAATGTTGCAGCGTCTAAATATCTTACTATAATTTTTCATGTATCGCATTAACCAATCATTGATTCATGAACTATTTAATTTTTTCGCAAGTTATACAACGATTTAGCAAAAAGAAAGAAGAAGCAAATTCGTCACATCGTCATCGTTGTTCCATCACGCATTAGCTTAATTATTCACATCAAAGCTATAACTTTATTGATGAACAGTTATAATACCGTTTCATATTGAAGTTTAACTAGATAGTAAATATCTCATGGATACATAGAATCATAATCATATTTTAGTTATTTGAATTGGAAGAAGTCGATTGAGGAATCTCGTCGTTAGTCGGAAGAGATTTTGGCTTACAATCGCAAACATGGTTAATACATTTTGGTTGAGGAACCCATTGTTTGCACCATATAGCACAATCTTTCCAGTCATGGCAACGGTTCTCATGATAGTGAGCTCCCATTATCATTGATGATGAACCTATTCATGTATTATATATTATACACATCAATCATATATATATAAACCTTCACATGCATGTTTAATTGAAACTTCATATAAATAAGATTAATTTGAGATTACTTACATGATAGAATGAGCAATACAACAATGAAGAAAGCTGAGGTCTTCATGGTTTTTTTTTTTTGGTTCTGTTTCTTCTGTTTGGTTTTGTGAAAGTTACACCAAAAGCTTGTTTTTGAGTTACTAGGTGAATCAAAGATGGTTCACTAATTTATAATACAAAATTCTTGATGCTTATATGGAAGTTATTTAATTTTCGGTGAAAACAATTTGTTCTTTTCTTCTCTTGTTTGGTCAACTTTGTTGAATTTATCTTTATAACCACCACATCTGTAATTTATTATTCTTTTTTTGTGTGTTGTGTATGTGTCAAACTGACTATAATTTTATTCATAAGATGGCTTTATACATAAAAACATTCGAATATTAACCATAGTGGAAACTTTTCTTTTGTCATCTAGTGGAAACTTTATAATTCGAATATTATCATAAAACAGTCGAATATTATACAGAATCTAATTTACAGTCAACGTTGGAATCAGTAATATACCATTAATTACCGAAATTTACTTCTTTGTAAATTTTCCATGAATCGTTTTCACTTATCAGCATCATCATCATTGTCATCCTTATCTAGCTTTTGGAATTTGGAATATTAAGTTTGAGGTTGATTTGCATTCTGATTTCTGAAAATATGATAAAATTGAGAAATAACTCAGTAAACTTGATTAAACTGCAAAGATCTAAGAATAACTTAATTCATAAAATTCATTTAAAGTTAAGTCAATAAATAAACTTACAAATATCACACAAATTAAAATAGCTACACATAAATCATGATTTAAAATTTTTATATAATTATCAAATCATATTAAATCAGTCTACAATACAAAGTACCAATCAAAATCTTGAAGGTTTTGAGTATTTTAAGCAGAGTAATTTAAATTTCATAATATCTTTTTATTGTTTCAGTTCATTTCAAAATATTTGTTACCATCCAAAATGAAAAATTAGCCAAAGAAGAAGAAATGTTCAAAAAAGAGATTCAGTTTAAACATTCTTCCACATTTTCTTCACCTTTTTCTTGTAAGGGAGAAACAACAAGAAGAAATAAGACAGAAACAACAACAAAAACAACAACAACAACAACAACAACAACAACAACAACAACAAAAGAAGATTTCAATCCAATGTTTTTGGAACATATAAGCTCTGTCCTAAAAAGTCAGCTTCTGTGTTCCAAAAAGTTTGGAGAAAGTTCCTTATATGTATTTCAAGATTGAGAGTTCCTTATATGTATTTCAAGATTGAGCTGAAGCAACACTTGGACTAAGCTCCTTCTGTGGCTGTGGTTGCGCTTGCGTTTGCGATTCAGAGAGTTTTGATTCTTGTTCTGATTTGTCTAAAGCCTCTGGTGATTCAGTCAGATGGATACTAGCAACTTCATCAACCACTTTCTTCTTCTCTTCGTCTTCTTCCTCAACCATACCAACTTTCTCTTTCGCCTTTTGTCCAACTTCTTCAGCAGCTTTAGTCACTTTGTTAAACGCACCGGTAACCCACGTGGCACCGGTTAAAACATACCGGTTTTTCATTATAGCCGAACCAGCATTAGTCACTGTCTGCTCAGCTGCAGCTATTGCAGATTTAGTTTTCTCTGTGACTTGAAACTTCTGATCAACTTCTTTAACTTTTTCGCTCACAACCGTTGTCCCGGTGTTAATTTTCTCCGTGAATCCGATTCTTTTGTCGAAAGATGTGACTCTAGCTGAAGCTGTTGATGTCAACTGATGCTTCTCATCAAGGCTCTTCGCTTTAGCTATCGCGTCTTTACCTAGAATAAACCCTTTTGAAATCATACCACTTACAACATCTTCAGCTTTTCTAAATACCGATACATCTTCGCGAGAAGGTGATGATGATTTATTGCTCTCTTTCAATGATTCCTGAGGAGACAAAAACTGAAATCACAAAGAGGTTTTTAAAAGAGTTTTGAGGTTAAAGAAATGGTTTTATTGAGTAGCCTACAATGGAAGCTAAAGCCTCAGGAGGTAGTTGATAATCTGGTGACATTGTAACCGTAACCGATGAATCAACAATCGTCGATCCCTGAAACAAAACCGACATTAAAACAAAGTGCCAATATGACTCATTGAATAAGGTTAAGAAAAAAGTGAATTTACGGTAAGAAGAACTGCGGTTTCAGCTCCTTGTAAATCCTTGAATGTGACATATGCTAATTTATAACCATCATTCTCGCTGTAGAAAACCATCTCAACAGTTTCAGTTCTATGAATCTGTAAGAACAATGTACAGAGTTTATATAATTCGAATGAAAATGTAAGTCGAAAAAACCGACCTTTGTGTTTCGAGGTAAGCAATATCGCCGGAAAAAGAGAAGAACTCCTTGAGATCTCTTTCTGCTGCTTCAAGAGAAACGTTGCTAACTTTGACAGTTACCATCTGCAATGAAGACAATGTTTAGAGACAATACATTAACAGTTATATATCATCTGTGCCAATTAACAATGTTCAGACATGTAAATGAAACCAGAGAGCATAAAAGTGTTAAAACCTTTTTGCTAAAGATAACGAATTGGTTAAGTTCTGATTAACTTACAAGTATATATATAAGAAGCTGTGTCCAAAAATAACTTCACAAAGTTTAACTAATCACATTTATCAAACAAGTAATCCCATTGATTAAAAACAGAACCCTGAAGTCAAAATTAGCGATTCTCAACGCCAAATTTAGCCAATTTCAACAAACACTATTCGCATCAGGCGATCAAAATCTTACAAATTTGAGATGAGAATAAAATTTGGAACTTTGGATATGTATACTCACCGACATTGCTATAAACCGGAAGATTTTCTCTTACACCCAGAATTTGAAACGAAAACAGAAGATAAGAAAAAACCCAAATAAGGAAAAATTTTGGCTGTGAGGAAAATACAAAGCGGATTCAATTTAAATACAACTCCGGTACGTGTAACCGTCGGGATTGTGATTTTTTTTTGGTCTCCTCGGCGACTTCAAGGGAGAAAAAGGTCGTGCTTAGAGCTATTTCTTTGTCGGGAAAGATTCTAATTAAATTAATCATAAACCTAAAGTATTTGTACGTTTAATACAAAAGACGTGACATAATCACTTTATCCACCACTATCTGTCGTCCACGTGTCCGAAATCAGCTTCTACATAGTAAAGTTTATTAACCTTCATCATTATTAAACTTTCACCCCCATCATTTATAAATAGTAAAATTATGACCTTTCCATTAGAGATTAGACCATAACATTAAAATTAGTTTAAAAGAGAGAAAAAAAAAACCTAACCGAAAAAATTTAAGGGTACTGAACCAAATTGAAATATTTCAACCGCTACCTAATCTTAATAAAAACTAATTTTAGTGTATTTTAACTAAACCAAATAAACTGTACTTTATCAGAATTCAATATTTTTAATTAACTGTATACACATATCTAGTAATCGTATATTAACTAAATCTTGGTTTACATTCAAGATTTAACCCTAAACCAAAATCTGAATAAACCAAACCAATGGTTTAATTTGGTTTTAAAAAAAAACAGAAACAAAGACATTACTAAATATATTCGAAATAAAAGGATCAAAAAGGAAACAACTTTATCTCTCTTCTTCTTCTCAATTAATCAGTTACGAACGCTTTTCAATTCTTCGTCTATCTGTCTCCACGATCCACGCCTTGACCTTCGTTTTTTTTTTCTCAGAGATTAGAGAAAACTCCGATAAGCAATTTCTCAATCTCGTCGTAGATCGAACTTTTCCAGGAAAAAAGAGGAGAATTTAGGGTCAAAATCTTCAATCTTTGGTGTTTTTTTTCTCAAGAAATTTTTGGAAACAAATTCCACGAAGAAGATGAGTTTTCAAGATTTAGAATCGGGAAAAGGAAGATCGACGAGGAAGAACAATGGTAATCGACAAGATTCGACACAAGCCGTTGCTTCTGGAATTTTCCAGATCAATACCGGAGTCTCCACGTTTCAGCGACTCGTTAACACACTTGGTACTCCTAAAGATACACCGGAGCTCCGGGAGAAGCTGTGAGTTGAAATTGAAATCTAATTTCATTTTGATTAAAAAAAATTGAATTTTTATTGCTTTTTTTTTGTGGAAATCTGAATTGAGAAATTATTCAAATATGTTTGTGAATAGGCACAAGACAAGATTGCATATTGGACAGCTTGTGAAGGATACTTCAGCTAAACTTAAAATAGCTAGTGAAACTGATCATCAAAGTGGTGTCAATGTAAAGTGGAATCTTTCTTGCTTCTTGTTTTTAGGTTTTATGTGAATCTTTTTGGTGTTTGAGAATTGATTGTGAGAGTTGTGTTTGTGTAGCCAAGTAAGAAGATTGCAGATGCTAAGCTTGCAAGGGACTTTCAAGCTGTTTTAAAAGAGTTTCAGAAAGCTCAACAAACCGCTGCTGAAAGAGAAACCACTTATACTCCTTTCGTGCCTCAATCTGCTCTTCCCTCTAGGTAAAGCAAAAGTTATTACTTTGTGAATTGGTTGTGTGGTTTTGATTGATATTCATGTTCCTTATTCGTTTTGGTTGGCTCGGTATATAGTTATACGGCGGGTGAGGTAGATAAGGTCCCGGAACAGCGGGCACAACTTCAGGAGTCAAAGAGGTAGGTGATACTGTAAAAAGAACAAATCTTCGACACATCTCTCTACATTTTTGAGATGCGACTTAATCATTCTCCTTGTTTGATTGTTGCAGGCAGGAACTTGTATTGTTAGACAACGAGATTGCATTCAATGAAGCTGTGATCGAAGAAAGAGAGCAAGGAATACAAGAAATCCATCATCAGATTGGCGAGGTTAACGAGATATTCAAAGATCTTGCGGTTCTGGTTAATGATCAAGGAGTCATGATAGGTAAAGACAATCTATACAACTTAATTAGAACATGCCCTTAAAGCTACAGTTAGAGAACTCTCTTTCTTTTCTTTTTGCAGATGATATCGGTACTCACATTGACAACTCCCGCGCTGCAACTTCACAAGGAAAATCTCAGCTGGCGCAAGCCGCAAAAACACAAAGATCAAACTCATCTCTGGTAAAACACTCAAAAACTTTTCAGACAAAAACACTGAATGAATGGTTTTTCGGAAACCTTAAGGCTAATGTCTTGATCTTGTTAACACGCAGACATGCTTGCTCTTGGTGATATTTGGCATTGTTCTCCTGATCGTGATTATCGTACTCGCGGCTTGATTTCGAAAGAGCAAGAACAAATCGCTTGGATGTGTTCATCGATCTTAAAACATCGAAGAGTGGAACTACTTGGTATATAATATATGTTGAAGACAACACTTAGAAGTTGGTTTTGTGTTGGTTTGGTTTGGTTCGATTCGGTTTGAGGTTCTATTGGTTAATGTAATAGTGTGTGCGTGTGTGGCTTTTTTGTTGTGCAAACATTTCGTTGGAGATGACAGAAATTCTGTTTTGTTTGTGATTCTCCTAAATCTATGCTTTGGACCGGTTAAACATATCCCAATCTCAGTTGAGAGGAAACAAAAACGATTTGCTCAATGACTGTCACAAAGAAGTTTAAAACAAAAAACTGAGTTATGACTGCTTTGCGTTTTTACAAGATTCAACCTTCAAGCTCAAAACCGACGCCACGAGAATTGAAAATGCAGACAAAACCGCGGCTGCGAATGTTAAGGCGGAAACATACTCTGTATGACCCCTGATTCCGGCAGGGATATCCCAGAAAACAGACCTGCTTTCAGTCTTCAATCTGCCAATCGACAAAACCAAACATCTTCTCTGTTCATGTCGCTGGTTTTGTACATGGCTCGAGCACAAGAACAAGTCTGGCTCACCAAACTCCACTCTAGAGTATCCACTGTCGTCCAGAGGCTGTGGAGATAATAGAGAAGTAAAGATCCGACCTTATCGATATCGATCAAAACAAGACTTGAGATCAAGTGATAATTTACCTGATAACGAGCATGTAAAGGAAGCTTTAACCTGATTTTACCATTTTCATAATCTCTAGAACTGATTTCAACATGAATCTCAACGACGGATCTGTTCGATCTAAACGAAGGCAGCTCAAGGTTCGTGTCTCCAAACACAGATACGTCACTGAAAACTGCAAGAAGATTCAAGATTCCATCAAATTCAAACATAGAAAAAGCTAAAAGCTTTCATATGATTTATCTTTCTTTCTTTCTTAACCACTACGTTTCTGAAGACTCTGAAGCTCAAAAGGATCAGCAAAAACACCCAAAGGCAACCGTTCAACGATCACGAGCTCACGAAACTCAGACTCTGAATGATGAAGAAACTGAATCTTGATGGATGTGAGGAGATTACGATGTGAACCTTCACCTGTAATGTTTCTGTGTTGTATCAATGAAGTTAAAGGAACAATGTTTGAATCTTGAGTAGGAACTTTGTCAGAACATTGTTGAAGAAGCAAGAAGTTTCGAAACTCTGAATCGTCTAAGGAAGTGTGTCTAGTGAAATAAGACTCCATAATGTAATGATCAGAGATACAGATTGAATCGGAATTGAAGAATTCATCAGAATCTCTATAATTTGTTCCAGCCTGCAAGTAAATTGCAATCGTTCCCAGATTTTAGAACACTAAATCGTATCAGAGAGCTAGCAACACGAATTGAAGCAATGGAGATTCTCTAACCTGATTAGATGAGGTAGAAGAAATGGCGCAGCAGATGAAAATTAGGGCTAATACCGATCTCCGTCGTTGGCTATCCATTGAAATTAGTAGAACTGATACGAGTTCTTCGATTCTCTAATCTGATTCATTCAGTTTCATAGCTCTTCTTCGCGATCTATCTACACAGAGACCATTGTTTCCGGTGAAGGTAACTCGCCGGAGATCGAGTTGCAGATCGAAAGAAGCCCATCACGGCCTGGTTTTGCTGGTTTAAGATGGGCCGATCAAGCCCATTAAAATCCAAACTAGTAATCTCGTTTTTTTTTTTTAATATTTATCGACGTCGTTTATCTCTTGTTTTTTTGGCGCAAAACGACGTCGGTTTATTGTTTTAATTTTTGTAATACAAAAAATCATAAAACCAAGGAAGAAAAGAAAACTTCGCAAAACGACAGCGTTTTATGTTGTTTTAATTTTTGTAATACCAAAAATCATAAAACAAAGAACTCAGATGGGGTTAGGCCATATTTGGTCTGGACTAAATTTAAACAAAGAAAAAAACAAACGAAATAAAAAGAAAAAGAGAAAATAATACTAAGAATGACAGTAAAGAAAAGTGTCTTTACTTATAAAAGAATGAAAAGTGAAAGTGAAAGAGCCCACGACCGATGAAGAGCTATGATGAAAAAAGCATACAAATCTATTTTTGCAAAAGAAGAATCGAATTTTTAAGCTTTATAGACTTTGAATTTGAATTCTCTTCGTTATAAAACATTTTTTGTTCACGCTCAGGAATGTGTTTATAGTTTTTCTATAAGTACAATGTTCATTTGCAAAGAAATGCTTATTCATATTATTCCCCAAGTTATGAAGATTTCAGATTTTTGGTTATTTCAAACCCAAATATTTGTAGAATTGCATTGATATATGTTAATATATGTTAATATCATGTATATATACAAAATATTTTGTTTTTTTTTCATTTGAGTTTCACATTTGAACTTATAGTTTTTCGGTTACTTTGAATATCACACTAAAATCTTATGATTTTATTTCACAAAGAACTTATTATCTTAACTTGTAAACAATAATACAAACTCATACATTAGCTATAAGAAAAAACAAGCAAGACCTCACCTAATGGGAATGGGATATGAATTTGATTTGTCCAACGCTAAAGTTCTGGATTGGGATGAAAATGTAGGTCCTTTACGGTGATGAAGATGATTGATCAATGGCCCATTCACTCTTTCTTTTTATCAAATTTCCTTTGTATAATACGAAAAATCCTTAGAAAATTCTCCAATATGACTATTTAATTAAAAGCAACTCAGCAGGTTTGCATGCTGTGTAATCTTTATTACCTTTAACAAATCCTTATTTTGATTCCATCTTACAATAACAATGTACAATTATATATTGGAGTTTAAGCAATTGTTTATAATATCTTGGAATTTGAATTATGAAGAAATATTACAATATGCATCATCATGTCTTTTTTTTTTTCTTTTTTTTTTCTATTATATGCATTAAAAACAAAATTCTTTGCATGATTTAGTTCTCAATAAATAAATAAAAAAATGTGGAATAAAGTGGAACTTTAAGGAAAGTGAGTAAATGGGTACTTTTGTTAACTATTTTATTCATCTATCTTCATATTAAAAACTTTCAAAAATTGAAACCTAACTTTGGTCATGGTCATGCTTTTGAATAATTTTTTTTAGCAAGAACATAATTAGTTCTCTTCTCTCTTTCTCCTTTATATATTTGTACCACACATTCCTCTTCAACCAAAACTCTTCAACATCTCTTTCTAACTAGTTCATTTTTCTCTTCCCAACAGTAGTAACAAAGGTTCTGACTCGATTCAAGCCAAGATCCACGTACTAAGATGTCCAAGGTCCATGTTTAGAGCTTTCATATATACAACTTTATATACATATAATAGTTTGTCGTTATGCCTGGCTCCCTGTATGCCACGAGTGGATACCGATTTTGGTATAAAATCGGCTGCCGGTGGCGTACAAGGAGCCAAGCATGACCAGAAGCATATGATAACTCATTTGCATCAACAACTATATATGATATATATATCGATGGTTTATGTGATATGATAGTTTAGTTGATTTTTGGCTTTTGTGTTTACATTTGGGGTTTTGATAAGTAAACAGAAATTTGATCGTCAGTTTTCTATAAAAAAATATCCGTCTTTTTTTTCCCGATTTGATCCAACACTTTGTTTTGATTAAGACTACAATAACTTGAATTGATTCGTTTAAAATCATAAGTCATTTTCTTTAACAGGAGAAAAAATCATAGTCATTTTTTTCTTTAATTTTGTGTGATTTGCGGACAGTAGTTACTTAAAACCATTGTCTTAGGGTAATCATTTGGTCTTTGTTCTGTAGTTTTACCATCTCCATCTATATTTGAATTTTTGTCTATTATATATGAATTTTGTTTGGATGCATCGAACTTGTATCGCTTTATTTGAAATATTATTCGTGGCGGTCAAACTAAAGTCTTAGAAGAAGAAAAATGTTTGATAGTTTTTTCGGTGGTAAACAGTAAACATATCAATCAATCAGTAATTATCGATTTCATATTTGAATTCTGAAAATACAGAATTTAGGCGTTGATCAAGTCTTTCAAATTTGTATCACTTAGAAAGTCCTTCAATCACGGAACACTGTAAATTGATAGTGAACATCAGAACATGATTATTCTTAAACCACTGCCATAATTAACTATAGTCCTTCAATCTCTTTGATCTATACAAGGGTAATTATTTATTATAGTTTTATGTTGTTTCTACTGATTTTGTTTCATCAAATTTAAGAATATTTTTTTATGAGAATTCGTAGGGAACGGTTTATTTTTGGAAACATTTAACATATTTGATTAGCTAGAGAGCTACACATGTTATTTGTAACATGCAACTCATCAACTCAATTTCCGTCCTGAGTGTTTGGATAGTCGGAGGTTCTTACGGGTACAAATTGTTACAAAGATACATGCAAGGACAAATTTAAGTAAGCACATTATAATTGTTTTTCTTGTTCATAATAATAATATTCATAATTCCTTACAAATTTGATGTTTATATCTAAAACAAATTTTATATATATTTTGAAAGTAGGGAAATTGGCAAAACTAACCAACAAAAAAACTTTAATTCAATAACTAACCTCTAACCCCCCTATTCACTCACTTTCTCTTCCTATCTCTCTCTACCTTCTTTCTAAAAAACTAATTTTTCTTTTTTTTTTGGTTATTCACTTAAATCACCCTTGAAAGTATGTAAAATTATATCCAACCAAAAAATTGTTGTACAATGAATGAGTCAACGAGAGTAGAAAGTTATAGAGTAAAAAAATATATACATATATTCTCTGTGCCTTCTACCATTTATTTTCCTCCATATACTATGTAACAATATTCTATATTTCAAAAAAAAAAAAAAAAAAAAAATATTCTATATTTCATGTTGTATATACTGGGAATGTTTTTTTGTTGATCGTTGTTGAATCTATCCAGCGACTGAAAATTAAAGAAGGAAATGAGGAATGGACAACACGTTTATTACAAAAATTCAGTCGCTGATTGTTCGGAAGAGAG